AAATATTTTCAAATCAACAGGAATTATCAAAGGGTGGAGCTATTTCCACCCCTATTTAATCATCTTACCTCAAGCTATTAAGTTCACCCCATCTATACCCACCCCCATTAATTACTAAGTTCACCCTATTAATTATTAAGTTCACCTCATTTATACCAATTGAATTAAACTATTAAATATATATGTCAAAAAAATCAAAACAAAAATAGTAATTGAAACAAAATTCTAATATTCTGATGTGATCTAAATATTTCGAGGAGTTTTAAAATATTTTGACATATTTTGCACCAATGTCCTTAGAATATTTTGAGGTTTTTTGTATAGATATGGTGAACTTAGTAATTTGAAATAAGATGATTAAATAAAATGAGAAGGAGATTAAAGTCAGATGATTAGGGCTTAAAGGGAAACCTACGTAACTGGGAGAGAAAAGACCACTCACACATCCTTCGAGAGAAGAGAGAGACTCCTATTGTCAACCTAAGGAGAGATTAGTTACTTTTTAGCCACAACCTTATTAGTTAGTGTGCAATATTACATAGACTTAAAAGTAATAGATTTGATAATTAAAATTATTTATGTCACTATGAGTCCTAGCATTTTTTAGGATCCACTATTTATTCAAAGATTGTGATATCAAGTCTAATTAAATTTATGTATCATTACTCTTAATTAAGGCTTCTACTATTCAGATATAGAAAATCGCAAACAAGTGAACAACAGATAAAATGGCCACTTCTCCTTTTAACCCTTTTTGCTTACGTTGCCATTAATTTGGTATACTCATTGCTATCTGTTTTCTTTTTACCTTTTGTTTCTATATTTTTTTGTTCCCCTAAATTAGATATTGCAAGCTTCTTTTCATGGTTACTTTTTCATTTTCGTCCTCCATTCTTCCCCCATAATCATCATAATTGTCTTCTTCACCACATAATCCTCCCCCAAGCCTTTGTTTCCTTACTTTCCAGTCTCTGAGTTTGATTATGTAGTTCAACTCTTCACAGTCATTCCAATCTAAGACCATCTCCAATGAAAAATCAAACCTTAACCAAATTTGAATAAAAACAGGTTAAAAAAACTTGATTTGGTATAGACCTCTCCAATTGAGAAATGCAAATTTAAAGGAAGAAAATTTCAAATTTAAATGAGGACAAACTCAAATTTAAAAAAGGAGAAACTCAATTTTAAAGAGGATAAAATATAATCATTGGATGTTTAAAGAATGGTGTAATCTCACAATTAAATATTTGAGTTTAAAAAATGTTCTCTCTTCATTTGGTATAAGTATGAATCGAGCATTGGAGAAATATTTTAGACCATTTTTATCCAAATTTAAATTTTTGTACAAAAAAGGGTAAGGACTAGAGACGCTCTAGAGCATCTCCAACACTGACTCAAATTTAAATTTTAATAAAAAAGCTCAAAAAATTGCTCCAAACTTTGACTCAAATTTATACCGAATCAAAAGAGACTCATTTATTTACTCAAATCAATTGAGACTCAAATCCTTACCCTTTTCACTAATTGTGAGATTTCACCTTCTTTTTAAAAAATTCAATTGTTATCTTTACTCTCTTTTAAATTTGAGTTTGTTCTCATTTAAATTTACATTTTCCCTTCTTTAAATTTAAGTTTGTACATTGGAGCTTTTTATATCAAATCAATTTTTTTACTTAGGTGGTGTTTGATAAAACTAAAAGCTAAACATTAAAAGCCAAACTATTTGACAAATATAAGGAGTTAAAATCTGAAAATTATTATTATTCTAATTTTGTTCTTCTCTTCAACTATCTTTTCACAACTGTCTTATTCCTATAACAACCATCACAATGGTGATGGTAATGGTGGTGACGACGAGTGGTGGTGGTGGTGACGACCGAGTGGTGCTGGTAGTATCGGTAATAGAATGATAATGGTGGTGGTAGCGATTGTGATGGTGGTGGTGGTGGTGGTAGTGGTGGCGACAGTGGTGGTGGCACAATGGTGGTGGTGATGGTGGAGATGGTAGCAACAATGGTAGTGGTGGTGACAATGATAGTAATAGTGGTGACGGTGACACAATTGTAGTGGTGACGGTAGCGAAAGTTGTGGTGGGGGCAACATTATGGTGGCAATGACAGCGACATAATGACAGTAACAATAGTTATGGTGGTGGTGGTGGTGGTGGTGGCAGCAACATTAATGGTGGTGGTAACGATGGCATAATGGTGGTTGTGACAATGACATAATAGTAGTGGTAGTGGCAACGACAAAATGGTGATTGTGGTGATGGTGGTGTTGGCAATAATGGTGGTGGTGGCAGTGACGATGGCACAATGGTAGTGGTGGCAGCGATGGTGATGGTGACTGTGGCACAATGGTGGTGGTGGTGGTAGTGGTGGAAGTAGTGGTGGCGGTGGTGGTGGTGATAGTGCTAGTGATGGTGGTGATGACAATGGTAGTGAAGGTATATTTGTTTATTACGAGAAATTGTTAAAATCCTTACTGACTACCATTAACAACATTAAGTGATAAGTAGGTGGTTTACTATTTAAAATTTTAGCATATTTTTAAGAAGTGTTTAAAATATTTAGTAATATGAGTTTTAGGTTATCAAACATGTTTAATTTATGAAGTACTTAAAGTATTCAATTTTGAGCCTTAAGTGGTATTATTAAATAACCCCTTAAATGTTAATTTAAATTTAAGCAAAAATTCATGTCATAGTTAGAGATGTTCTGAGAGCATCTCCAGCCCTTACCCCTTTTTTTGTACTCTTTTTCAAAAAGGGTAAAAAAAAACTTTTAAAAATATTTTTTAATGCTAGACCTATACCTATATCAAATGAATGAAACCTTTTTTTAAATCCGAATCAAAAGAGACTCAAATCCTTACCCTATTCACAAATAATAAAATTACACTCTCCTTTGATGATCCAATGGTCATATTTATGCTTTTTTAAATTTGGGTTTGTCATCATTCAAAAAAAAAGTTTTTCTTCCTTTAAATTTGGGTTTGTCAATTGGAGCTGTTGATACCAAATCAATATTTTTCCCATTTGTTTTACTCAAATTTAGGTAAGGGTTTATATCTCCATTGGAAATGGTCATATCTTCAATCCTTACCTTTTTTTAAACCCTTTTTTAAAAAGAGTAAAAAAATCTTCTCCATTATTAGACTCATACTCATCCCAAATGAAGGGAAACCCTTTTTTAAACCTAAATCAAGAAAGACATTTTTTTAACACTAATGTTATTTGGACATAATTTAGGGACTTAATGCATATTGAGATCCACTGACAATCTAATGACCACAATCCTTAAGTCCCTAAATTATGTTCAATCGTTAATGGTAAAATTACACATTCCTTTAAAACTCTAATGACCATAGTTTACCCTCTTTTAAATTTAGATTTGTGCTCATTTAAATATGAGTTTCTTTTATTTTAAAAAAAAATTTATCCATTCTAAAGTTCTATACTAAATTAAGTTTTTCATCTTTTTCTTTACTTAAATTGAAATAAGAATTTGAGTCTCAAGGTTTCTATCATTCTCTCTCTTGCTTTCTCTCTCTTTTCTTGCATGGGACTCTCAAACACCCACCATCTCCTATCATTTATGGCTCTTTTTCATTTGGGTCTGCAATGTTTCGTCTCCCATTTGCTAATTTGGGCTTCTCTGACCTCTGATTCTGTGCTCTTGGGCAATAGGTTGCTGTATTTTCACTAATAGATTATCATTTTATGGAGTTTTTGATTGTATTTCCTTAAAAGGTCCCAAGTCTTTGAGAATTTTGTTGGGTGTGTTCTTTCTTCTGGTTCTTTTAGGTGAATTTAAACTATACGCTTCTGGAAAGATGTCTTCTGAACAGCGAAACCCTATGGTGCTGGTGCATTCTCTGGAGCAACATATGGGTTCAACTGATAATCAGAACGGCCCAATTGCTTATCCATTTTCCATAAGGTTATTTATTAACTTAGACCAAGATTAACTTTCGTTTTCTTGTGAATTGTCTTCCGTATTGATCTCTTAGGCGATTGCAAAGTTTTGCATGCTCTTTGATGTTGCGCTTCATGACATTCTAAATCCTTCGGATCATTTTGTGTTGCATTTTTGTGAACCTTAATAGTTTATTGCAATGTATTTTCTTTTCAACCGTTCTTTTTACGTTTTCTGTTGAAGAGACTTCTTAGTGGATAGAGGACAATAATCAACATCTGCCGTAATATAGGTTGGGTTAGCTGGTCATTAAGTGTACGTTGTGATGTCAGTGTTGAAGCTGAAAAATTTCTCTTCCTGTTCATATTGCTAATTTTAGTTTTTTTTTTTTTGAGGGATGACAATATCCTGTCCAAGATCCCTACAAACCCAAGCATGTGGGTTATTTTATGTCACTCAAGTGACGTCAAATAGTACAATTAAGTCTTGATCTATGTAACTCTTTATTCAATGCATGCCATTTTCATACTCTGTTGGTATTCCCATTATAACTTGAATGTGGAGCTTTATTCCTTCGTAAATCTGAAAATATCTCACTAGTAGTTCGGTTGAAAAACGGCCGTTACATTACTGTAACGCAGGTGTCCGATTCCGTTACACTCTGATATAACGGTATGGAAGAAATTCATAACTGTAACGAACGTTACGGTTCCATAACGGTCTCGTAACGGCCTTGTAACAGCCTCGTAACGGCCCCGTAAAGGTCGATATGGACAGAATCGAATCGATTTAACCCATTATACCTCGAAAATAATCCAAAATCCATATCTAGAAACTCAAATTTCAGCCACTCCGTTATCTCTCATCCTCACTCAGATCTAGAAAAATTTTCATCTTTAAGATGCAAAAATGATAAAAAAAAACCTGATCTTTAATTTGGATCTAAAAATCCATCTTAGTTGAATTGGAGATCTGTGTTGGATTTGATGGAACAATCTCCATATATTTTAGATTTGTGTTTTGGAATTGGTTGGCTGAACCGTTGAGGATCCGTGAAGCTTTCACGTTGGTCTCAGATCTGTGATGAAGAAGCTTTGCATTTCGGTTTCAGATGCTTGCGTCGTTCCATCGAAGACTCTGTCTCCGGCCACCTCTGCTTTTCGATTTGGTTTTGTGGGTATTGGGTAAATTTGTAAGAGTATCACTGATTGCTTTAGTGGGGATATCTTGTTATTTAGTTTAAATGGGGCACGTGCTAAACCATTTTAATAATTTTTTTTTGAACTTTTTTTTTCAAACAAAATATAAATTATAATATCATATCGTAATGTTTTTTGTAGTGGGTTCATTATTATAATGCTTATTCAATATTATACATATTTTTAATATCTCATTAACATGTTTGTGATACAATAAAATATAGTAAAAATTACTAAACACTCATATTTGTGTTATTTTAGAGTTGAAACATGTAAATATTCATATTTTATGGTATTGTGAGTAGAAAAAAAAAATTCACTCTTCCGGTTTTCGTTACTGTTACGTAACGCCCGTTTTACCCTGCGTCCGTTATATCGTTACTGTTACTGTTACGATAACCGTTACCGTTATTCAGAACCATGTGTTCAAGTTTCTTTGAAAGACATTGTCTTTCTTTTGAAGCTAATTTCACTATAGTTTTATGTTTGATACCAGTAATTATTTAATATCATCAACCAAGGCTTCATGGCTTGCATTTAAAGATAGAAACGCCTCTAAGCAATGCTTCCTTTATTATGTGTCTTCCTTCATATCACAGACACTATGCTCTTGTTGCTCGTGAGAAAGATCTCTTGCTTAGTTGGCCATTTCCAGAGAGATACTTCCATTTCTGTTTAGAGAATGGTATCAAAAATGTGCTTCCGCCATTTGCACTTTGTGATTCAGGAACAAATCTTTTGCAAAGAGAAGAGAGTTCAGATTGTTGTCAAGAAAAGAGAGAAAACGATGTTTGCACAGAAAAGAATGATATTAAGATAGCTGATGAAGAATATATGAAAGTTGCGCATGATTCAAAATTTAGCGAAGCTATCTCAAAATTTTTAACACAGTTCTACAATTGTTCTTTCTCTAGCGAGAGCAGTAAGCATCGACAAAACTATCATCTTATGTCTGACACTATTGTTGACACCCTGGTTGCAAGAATTCAACTGTCAAGTACCATCCCATGTTTGCACCCTCTNGTAAGCATCGACAAAACTATCATCTTATGTCTGACACTATTGTTGACACCCTGGTTGCAAGAATTCAACTGTCAAGTACCATCCCATGTTTGCACCCTCTTGTTGATCGGAGTACCAAAGTGCTGGCTGCTCCCAAGAGGTTAAGACACAAACAACAGAAACGAAAGGGGAAACCTAAGAAGCGGTATATGGCAGATATTTTGGCTGTTGCAAAGCATTGCACCTTGAAGGAAATGTTCAGGGTTGACAGCTTAAGCATTGATTCCAAGTCAACTGCAGAGAATTTCAATGAAGGAACTCTAATGTCTCTCACTGAACATGACTGTAAATCTGAGCTTGCAGAGGAAGAGCAAGAAAAACATCAAAGTATTGACAAAGAAGCTGTCGATGGCAAAATAACCCGTAAGAAAAGGCTTGTAGTGAAGTTTAAGCTGTATGGATCCGATGGGAACTAAATAATTTTAGAGATTTGAGTGATCAAAGCTTCTAGAAATCCAGGTACTGATCTGCTAATTCCTCCTGTGTAATACTTCGTTTTGTCTTTCTCTCTGAAGCCTTGTTTTATGTTCCACTAAATTGCGACAAGGAAAAACTGTTGCCAGAATTTGCATTTTAAAAACCTTTTCAAAAACTGACAATAGATTAAGTGCCTACATCTTAGGTACATTATTGTAGCTGAATCCTTCTAAACAAGTTTATGATGATTCAAGTATTTTAAGGCAAATTTCATGCGTTCATCTCCACTTCTTCAACACCTTTATCATGACATTTAAGTTTCTACTAGCTACAATTTTCTAACAAATGTATCCATTAGTGTAAGTTCTTACTTATAGATTATTTTGATGGTTACTGTGACAAGAAGATAGTCTCATTCTCGCCTTGTTCAAATGTTCCAGCCAGCACAAACTTATTTTGCTGTTTGTCACATATATGCATAACAAGGACAGTAGAAGAGAAAATACAGCATGTAAATCTTTTCTTGATTGTCACATTAGTATCTTTTGAAACTCCAGGTGAATATTTGCTTCATGTTTTGATTCAGATTACTGTAATTTCAATATTTTAGGCATGCAATACACAATCAAACCAACCAAACCAAACCAAAACCAAACCAAGCCTTATGTCCCAATCAAACAATCAAACAAATTGGGGCAAAAGGAATCTTTTGCTTTGCTAATAGCAACCGATACAGTCGGGCAATGCTTTAGCATGAATGAATGCCGAAATACATCATACTGAAACTTTCAGGAATGAATCAAAATTATCATGCATATTCAAATATATGAATGCGATATACATATGTTGTAATCAAACATAAGTAGCACATTTCCATGAATCGTCATATCTTGTTATTTCTGGAAGGCTTCTTTCACCATATCTGCAAAAACAAAAGTAATGAATTAAAATTTTCAACACAATTAAATATCGCTTGGATCACAATCAATTATTGATGTCCCAAACGAACTAATTGGCATATTAGGCTTCGCCTTTGTTTGTTATCACGCTCCTACTTGATGCTTTGTCAAACAAATCCAGCAAAGAAAACTTTCGCATCTTCTTTTTCTGTGGATAATAACTACCAACCGTTCATGTTTATCACTCCCTGGTGCTGTTGAATATCTATGATTAACCTCAGGTATAATTCCTAGTACTAATGTGCTTGTTTGGGAACCGATTTAGATATTAAAAATGTTGAGATACACTAAACTGCCAAAATGCTTTTTATTTCCTTGGGAAATGCAAGATCTGTGATACTAAAGTGATTTGCATACGTAGAATGTTTTGCCTAAAATATTTAGTTTTACTTCGACGAGAATGAAGCTATATCTTTGTTTGTAAGTTATTTTTGTTTTGTCATTTAAGTAATAATCAGCAGCCCAGATTTTCTGGCAGCTGAGAAACCATAGGAGGGAGAAATTTCGATGCATAAATACGTCATTAGGTCTCATTACCAATATTGTGGTTTGACATACACTTTCTAAGTTTATTCTACTTGTTAACATATGCACTAATTTCATCAGGTTTGTTAATTTGCATATATATGTATATATATCCTGATTTCCTACAAAACTTGAAAGTTTTTTTATTTTGAAACTTTTTTTTTCATGGGATTTTTTATGATATGTTATATATTGTTTGCTAATACTGTCATATATATCAAACGCTAGTACAATTTGACCACTCAAAAAACTTAAGCTAATTCATCAAATTGGATTTTTAGGTTCCCAGCATGGTGGACAACTTTGGTGACAACTGTTCCATCAGATTCTCTTTCTCTCTTAATGTTGCTCTTCCAGCAACTCATCTGAAAAGCTTTTATTTCTACCATGACAGATTCCTACATCAATTTCAATGAAGAAAAGATGTCAGCTAAAAATCCAAGCTATCTTTCTCCTCCTAACGTCAGGTACAGTAACTTTCTTCGAACTCCACCTTGTATAAAAAAAGGTTTATATTGCGGGACGGACAATGGAAAATTCTCTGAATTTTACCATTGAACACCATGTCTTCAAAGCAAATAGTGACTGAAAATGTAAGCTAATTTCTCATTTGTGCACTATACGTGTTATAAATTTTTACCATTTCGCTGCTATGCCTGGGCTACAGGTTATGGGTTATGAAAGTGACCTGTTTGAGATCAAGAGATTGTGGATGCCCAATAGTTTGATAAATTTCGTTTTGAACCCCTGAATGTTGAAATAATGGCTTAGAGAGAGAAACAGATAGAGATGCAGATGAAATACTGTACATGATTACAAAGGAGTAATGTGATATGTATTAAAAACCAAGATCTAGTATTTAAAAGGGCGCTCAATAAATGTAAGAGTCATAATGAATTATGTCAATAAATTAGATCAAAATTTTTAANCCAAGATCTAGTATTTAAAAGGGCGCTCAATAAATGTAAGAGTCATAATGAATTAAGTCAATAAATTAGATCAAAATTTTTAATTTAAATAACATTACTCATCGTTCTCTAGCTCCTTTCCCATTGGAATTTTGTTGAACTTGATTCCTAAATCCGAAGCTGCGGAGGAATCAGTAGGGAAATCGTACATTCTGATCTAAATTCTCATTTTTACGACGAAGCATGACCTGGCTAACTCAAACTTGACTGAGATTTAAATTAGAGTTAAAAATGTCAAACTGTAACTTCCCCTCTTTTACTGAAACTCAGAAAATGAAGGGCAAAGCAAAACATGGAAAGCCTCAAATTTTTATCCGAACCCCCAACAGTCAATATTTTCTGCCTTCTCTTTGCATCTCTCTCTCTCTCTCTCCCATATTTTCCTTTCTGTGTATTTATCATCTCGTCTTTCAATATATGTCGTGGTTTAAACGTGCAATTTCTGTAATGACTAGTGATCCAAAATTTAAAGTATAGGAACGTGCAATGAAGAAATGGGCTTTTGGAAGAATATGAAAAATTTTAAAAAGGTGTTAAAAGAAATTTGAGTTTGTCCACGGAAAGATTTTGTGTCAAGCCAAAGTTTTTTTACTTAAATGTGAATAAAAATTCCAATCATGGCATTGGATGGTCTTATTTTGATATTCAAATTCATTCTGCAAACTGAGTTGGGGACCTCAAGTGGTAACAGATACGTTATGAATTTAAATTTTAATAATTTTTTGGGGGTCTGATCATGAGAGATTTATCTCTCATAAATACTTTAATTTTAATATTGATGACTTATCTTTGACTAAATTAAGGAGAAAATTAATCAAAATATACATAAGTTAGTGTGGATAACATTGACCATTGAGCCAAAATACAAATAGATGCTAGCATTGATGCGCCGTGTTTCTGAAAAGAAGCATGTAAGCTTATTCTGAGTTAAGCTAAATTGGTCAATTTAAATTGGACAGCTAGCTAGACTTTAGAGTCCAAAACACAGTGTCTAGCCAGGGAATCAGAAGACTTGTGGCAAACGCTTTGGGCTTTAAATACCTCCAATTTTAAAAGGTAGTCCTCCCATGAATGGTATTTTGTCAAAGGAATTTCAAAATGTAAAAATCTTACCTTGAATCCAAAACATCTTTTACTGGTAACGCCGTATCCCAAAAATTACACTTAATATGCTATTCTTTGTTGCGTATGCAATGTGCTATGCTGAGAAATGCAAAAAACAAATTGTGTATTATTTTCAAGGTATGTTGCTATGATTTAAAACAATTTAAGATATAATGTAAGATCTTTAATCATCCATGAAGTAAAATGATAATTTATACATTTCTCAACGTTTTGGCTAAAATCAAGTGTAGTATCCGTTTTTATCAGTTTAATACCTGATATGTGACCCAATGGGCCTCATGATACTAAATTATTTTAAGAATTTTTTGGGTGGGGGCATATTTTTTATGACTTATTTGAGAAAAAGTGTAATGATAAGTTTTTTAGTTTGTTAAGTTTATTTTTACTTAAATTTCTTGTTATTAGGTGCACAATTTAGTTTACCAATATATTACTTATTTATCTTTCCTTAAATTATGCATAATTCTTATTNCTGCAAACTGAGGTGGGGACCTCAAGTGGTAACAGATACGTTATGAATTTAAATTTTAATAATTTTTTGGGGGTCTGATCATGAGAGATTTATCTCTCATAAATACTTTAATTTTAATATTGATGACTTGTCTTTGACTAAATTAAGGAAAAAATTAATCAAAATATACATAAGTTAGTGTGGATAACATTGACCATTGAGCCAAAATACAAATAGATGCTAGCATTGATGCGCCGTGTTTCTGAAAAGAAGCATGTAAGCTTATTCTGAGTTAAGCTAAATTGGTCAATTTAAATTGGACAGCTAGCTAGACTTTAGAGTCCAAAACACAGTGTCTAGCCAGGGAATCAGAAGACTTGTGGCAAACGCTTTGGGCTTTAAATACCTCCAATTTTAAAAGGTAGTCCTCCCATGAATGGTATTTTGTCAAAGGAATTTCAAAATGTAAAAATCTTACCTTGAATCCAAAACATCTTTTACTGGTAACGCCGTATCCCAAAAATTACACTTAATATGCTATTCTTTGTTGCGTATGCAATGTGCTATGCTGAGAAATGCAAAAAACAAATTGTGTATTATTTTCAAGGTATGTTGCTATGATTTAAAACAATTTAAGATATAATGTAAGATCTTTAATCATCCATGAGGTAAAATGATAATTTATACATTTTTCAACGTTTTGGCTAAGATCAAGTGTAGTATCCGTTTTTATCAGTTTAATACCTGATATGTGACCCAATGGGCCTCATGATACTAAATTATTTTAAGAATTTTTTGGGTGGGGGCATATTTTTTATGACTTATTTGAGAAAAAGTGTAATGATAAGTTTTTTAGTTTGTTAAGTTTATTTTTACTTAAATTTCTTGTTATTAGGTGCACAATTTAGTTTACCAATATATTACTTATTTATCTTTCCTTAAATTATGCATAATTCTTATTTTTTCACTCT